ATGACTGATGATGGACAGTATTTGATTACTTGGGATGATAAATCAAAAGAATATTAGATAAGGAAATATTAGGAGTAATGAGTTATTCAAAAGTATAAAAATTATTGAAAAATACATTTTTTATTTAAGTTCTTTAAAGAAATGATCACTTTATTTTTCTTTTATATGTGTTAAATTATAAATTCAATTAATATTATTTGAATCAGCTATTATTTAAAAGTGTTAACTATTTAATTATAATATTATGCATAGCAAAAACAAAATGTTTCCAGTTTCATATATTATTAACAAATATCTTGCATAATTTGAAAGTAGTTTTTAAAGTTTTCTTAAGTTAAACGAAGTTTTAAGGAATTATTAATTTGAAAAGTAAATTTCAATCTTCGATTGAAAAACAAGCTTTGAAAATATTAAATATTATGATGATAAAAAACTCATTCATAAAAAATGCATTAATAAATTTGTTAAGATATTTGATTAATATTAAATTAAAAAAAGAATTATTTAAATGATAATTAACCCACTAATTTCGATTCTTATTATGATAAATTCATGCTCAAAGAGGTGAATACTGGTTAAGAAGCTTAGGTTGCATCTGAAAATTTCTTTTGCTTATTCTGTAGCAAATCCTGAATCAATAGTGAAAAAGGGAATAATGCAAGTCAAGTATTAATGATATAAGATGATACTTCCCAGATACCATATAGATATAAAATCTTAAATACTTTTAAAGTTACTCTTTAAGAAAGTTCCTTGTTATCCTTGGCAATATAAGCGATCTATACAATTAAATACAAAGATGTGGTATAATGTAGTTATTAATTTTTTTTTAGAAGGAGAGATAGGGTTAAACACTTATGAAATTAGTACAAGCAGTATTCTTGTAATACTCAGGTGGTTGAAGGCTTATTTAAACAATTTATACTACTTCTTGTGAATATAAATCTTAAAACTAGCCCTAAATTTGATTAGAAGTCTACTTTATAAGTGTATTAATATTCTAAATTGATTGTTGGAGAAGACATTAAATATAGAATGAGAAAAAACCAAGATGAAGGCTATTAGATGGTATACTTTAGAAATATATATTTCAGATACTGGTAATAATTCCAGTCAATCTAAAAATATTATGCTCTTCCAAAGAATTTTTTATTTAATTAAGTAAAGCTACCTTAGAAAAATTAAAGCAAACAAGAAAACTGTATCCTTTAATTTAGTTCAAATATTATATCTTGTTAAATATATTTGATAAAAAACTGTCAAATCTTTGCCAATTTTGATATGATTTATATAAAGAGTTCTTTTTCCATATTACTTTGTAAGGTTAGTTTAGACATATAATGGCTCTCAGTCATTTCATTAAATATTGAATCTTGGTATGCGAA